ACTAAGATAGATAAACTGACCGATGTTATGGGCGAGATAGTGCCCATCGTACATCAGTTAAAGAAGGCTTATGACGACGAGGAACAAAGCCGTGGTGATCTTGAGGACGACTTATTGGACAATGGCAACACGTCTGGCAAAGCCAAAGATGCTTTGTCTTCTGGGTCGGCTGCAAAAAGGCGTAAGCTCCTCGACACAAAAGTGCCAGAGGCAGGGATCGTCGATTCACTAATTATGGAAGTCTCTGACACGGAACAAACAGGAGCTGCTCTGCTGGAAAAACTTGTATCAGTATTGGATAACATGTTGTCCAGGGGCCTGAATGCAACAGCTGCAACCTCCAGGAAAGAAAAAATTAAACGACCGGAAAACTGTAAACTTTTGTTGGTGACAAAAGTAAACCAAGAAATATGGGATATTGCCCATAGTGCAACTTGTAGCATGGACTCGAGATTGCAAAAATTGCAGGAGCTTTTAATTAAGGGTCTTACCCCAGTTGCAACACTTACAGGATCCATAGGTGAAGCTATGGAATCCTCTTCTGATCTTCCAGACACAAAACATATCAGGGATTATTTATCCAGTGCTCATTGCTGGAGCAAATCATGAATTAAACATGTGCAGATGGGACATGTTTAAGGCTGATCTAGATAAAGATTACAAGACCCTATGCAACATCAAGCACCAGGTAGAAGGGGAGTTATTTGGTTCAGACCTCATTGACCATAAAAGAGAGTAACAGAGTATCTAAACAATTGACAAAGCAGGCGTCAAACCTTCCCAAGAGATTGGGAAGAAATCAGATCACCACCCGAGGGTCTTTTTTATTGCCACGCCGGGGGAAGTACCAATGGAACAACATTCGAAAGAGTTACGAGTTTGCAAAACAAAAAGAAAAGCAGTCCAAAAAGGGGGACTGCAAATCAAAAATAGATGACAGATTATCCTCCTGTGTAAGTAATACATTTGTCAATTTCAAAAAGGATAATAAAGCCTTCATAGCAGGCAATATTAAAAATTATCTTGATCAGTGAAAGCTACTGACCTCTGATAACACAATTTTAACTGCTGTACGGGGTTATAAAATTGATTTGCTTATGCAGCCATCCCAATTTACACAGTGCCTAGACCACTTAAATACTCTTCACTTGAAACCACTAACCTGGATCTACAAATAGCTACCTTTTTAAAGAAAGGTATCATTGTTGAAAGCTCAGATGAACCTGAGCAGTTTATTTCGACTGTCTTTCTTCATGAAAAAAGAGAACTTTCTGTATGATTCTAAATTTAAAAGTCTTCAATAAATGGGTGAACTATAACCATTTTAAAATGGATTCGATCCATGCATGTACACAACTCATGAAGCCATATTGTTATATGGGCTCTATAGACCTAAAAGATGCATATTTTTCAATTCCGATCCATCGGAATCATTAGAAGTATCTGAAATTTTATTGGGGAAATAAACTCTACCAATTCACCTGTTTGCCACAGGGGGTTGGCATGTGCCCCAAGGTTATTCACGAAGCTTATGAAGCCAGTTTTTGCATCTCTCAGGTAAAGCGGACATTTATCCAGTGGTTACCAGGATGATTCTTTTCTTGTGGGATATACATACACAGAATTCCAGTCAAATATCACAGATACAATAAACCTTTTAAAGAATCTTGGGCTTTATCCACATGAGGATAAATCAGTTACAATACCCACACAAGTTATACAGCATTTAGGATTCATATTGAACTCCATTGATATGACTTTGGCAGAGGCCAAAGTAGCTACACTGACACATATAGCTCAATTGGTATTAGCTAAAACGGCTCTACCTATTCGAATGGTTGCAAAACTTGTAGGCCATATGGTCACATGGAATCTCTGTGGTGGAGACTGATAGAATTAATAAATTAAAGAGACTTACCTGGAAGTTGAAGTTTGATTGGGATTCTATCAGTCACCACAGAGCAGAGATTACATGCCTGCCCTATGTGTACCTCCCTGCAATGCCTGCATGTTTACCTGTTCTTGAGGTACTTCAGCATCTTTAAAGATTGACCAGCTTTGTGCATGCGTGCTCTCTCATGTAATTTCAGCTCTGTGGTGACTGATAGAATCCCAATCAAACTTCAACTTCCAGGTAAGTCTCGTTTAATTTATTAATTATAGAATACCTAGCCATAGTGTTAGTGTTAGGATTTTGGCCTGGTATTCCAAAATTGCTGATCTTTTAGTCTAAAGGCTTTGTGTGAATAAAGACTATGTAACTCTGTATAATTATTGGCACTAAAGAAATTATAAGAGTCCCGTGCAGAATAAATGAGCAATTTGGCAACATTTTCAATGTTGGCAAACACACAAGCACAAATATACATACTAACACAGAAGCATGCAATATCCAGGGTAGTCACTCAGTGGAATAAGTTGGTAGTGTATATTTGTATCCCTGGTAATATCTTCCTACTCTCTACACCTGGTATAATGTAGCATTTTTTTGGAATAATTCATTAAAGCTTTAACATGCATATCCTTTGGATAACTTATTTTAGTGTACTTTAATTCTTTATAATGAAAGCCACTAAAAAAAAACAGAATGTTTTCATGGATTGATTTAGTAAATTCAGCTGCTATGTTACCAGCACTGAAAGAATACGGTGCATAAATAATTATGCATAATAATCAGTTGCAAATATAGTCTGATTTATAATTTCATATGCTGAATTTTTCTACAGTAGCTGAATCATATTTTTATATTATTTTTCCATCAAGTGTCAACCTTTCAAATGTAAACAGTAATGTTGTTTTTTATGTGCATAGAACTGATAATCATGAATTTCATGATCATGCTTTCCTGATCATCAATAATCATGCTTTCCGTGATGGATCAGCTAGAGTCAATGAACAAAAACATGTTAAGAGTGGACGTTTTCCCAAGTTCACTGTTGAAATAACTTACTGATCTTCCGTTTAGCATTAGAATTGCATGTCCTTTGCAGTCACTTAGGCATAAAAGTCACCGGGTAGTGCCGCAATTTTAAACCCTGCCAACAAAAATTGAAATACAACTGTACTTGGACATTATAAATGCTCCAACAGTTGTAATGTTTCAGTAATATATCGTTTTGTATGTCAAAACACACACTCACACAATTATAAAAAGCTATTAATTATAGCTCTTAGTTAAATAATCTTAATTCCTTATTTTAGGCAGATATTTTAAATATCCACAATGATTGTGAAGTTGTGATTTTAATATTCCATAAGCATGGCAGTGTAGATACGGTTACGTTTTATGGAACTGAAGGGGCTGGAGTATCCTTTATTGGAAATAAAGAAAATATCCCAACATCAGAGGGAGGGGAAATCGTGATAAAATTATTTGGAAAATTTATGGAAGGTATGTTATATGATTAGCGCAATTTCATTAAATTGTATTAAATGCATTTAACACTGCATGTAAAGGGCCGGGGTTGCCTAATTTGGCCTAAACAGCCAATTGTCAGTTTTGCAAAATCTAGACATGTAAAAGTTAAATGCTAAGGCATCATCGCATGCAGTCACATAGTGTACGTTGTGTAAATAAAACATTAAACGTTAATTCCTGTGTATAATACAGATTACAAACAAGAAAAGTTCAGGAGAAAGCGGAACAAATCCGGTTAGCAACACAGCAAGAACAAGAGCAACGTGAGCACCGACTGTAAGCTCTAACACCGTCGAACGCAAACAGTAATCCCAATACGGTATAAGCTTACGTGTGAGCACAATTGAGGCGGGGAAAACAGTCCAAAACGCACGTAGAATGGGTAGATACACTTTTGCCAATGGCAACGACAATAGTAGATCATAAACTCGTATACAATCTGAATATAATTTTAACCCGAAATTGACGATATGCAAATCGTGAAACGTGAACGTGGTTCGACTAAATAGAACAAATACATAAACCTAAATTAATACAGTGTAACTCTAAAACAAACCCTTACAATAACTAAATACAAATAAAAAACGACTTACAGATGTTTTCCCAGTAACTCAGAACTTTACTTTAGCTTGTAGATTTTGCTCTTTGCTTACAAACCTTTAGCTCCTTACTGCCAGAATACCTCAACTATACTGCCAAGTTTCTGGTCCAACTGCATGCCTTACCCATGCGTAAATCTAGTTAACTTAATTTCCTATGGTACTTGAGATAAATGATTAAGATATATGTTTTCCTGTGATTAGCACAGTTGTCACTAATGAACATAACATAGACTAGCAGTTCCAAACCTACATACCGGCCCCTAAATGCGACTTTATGGACTATGAGCATTTAAACGAACTACACTAGGTTTGACTGCCAGTTAATAAACTAAACGTAAACAAGATGTCTAAGCGTCTCTCGCTTAAAGATAACTACATTTGTACTTATCGTTCATGGTCCTCTCCCTTCGACATTCTCCACAGTTTCCAACAGGACGATCTTTGTCACCGGGCGGTCCAGGGTTGTATGCTCTGTCTTTACCGCTACGCTTCGCACAAGACCATCTTTGCTGTTACGTCGAACTTCGGCGACTCTGCCCAGCGGCCACGTATTTCGAGGTGCATTTTCGTCAGCTACGAGCACGATATCCCCGACAGAGAAGTTTCTTTGGGTCTTGGACCATCGCTGTCGCTGCTGTAGACACGGGAGATACTGTTTTATCCAACGCTTCCAAAATAGATCCGCTAAATATTGGACCCGTCTCCACTTGCGACGTGAGTAGAGGTCGTTGCTCGTAAAGACTCCGGGCGGACACTCGGGTCCCTTTCGGAGTAGCAAAAGGTAGTTTGGTGTGAGGGCTTCGAAATCTTTGGGATCGTACGAGACTTTCGTGATGGGTCGGTTATTTACGATCGCTTCGACTTCGCACACGAGGGTCGTTAGTCGTTCGTCGTCGAGTTCTTGTTCCTTCATCAATGCATTCAGTACCTTTCGCACCGTGTGAATACAACGCTCCCATATGCCTCCATGATGTGATGCTTTAGGTGTGTTGAACGTCCAATCGTACGCTTCTTTGCAGCAAGAACCCATTGATCTTCTCTTGATTCCACGCTTTTATCGCCTTCCGAAGCTCGTGATTTCCACTGACAAAGTTGGTTCCGTTATCGGACCTGATCTCTTCGGGCAGTCCTCGCCTCGCTACAAACCTTCTAAACGCGTTCAGAAACGAGTCCGTGTCCAGACTATTTGCCACTTCGATATGCACTGCTATAGTAAGGCACGTAAACAGAACGCCATATCTCTTTGCATGGCTCCTACCCAACTTGACCATGAAAGGACCAAAGCAATCGACGCCTACGTTAGTGAACGGAGGCTTTCCGGCTGTGACGCGATCCGTCGGCAGATCTGCCATCTTTTGCTCTCCGACAGGTGCTTGCCGCTTCTTGCAATCGAAGCACCGATTTAGTACGCTTTTGATGAGGACCCGTGCTCTGATTATCCAGAATCTTTCTCGTAGTACCGACAGAACGTACTCCAAACCACAATGACCGGAGAGATCATGATAGAATGGGATGATCAAGGTCACAACGTGATGATTTCCAGGCAATATTAATGGATGCTTTGCTCCTTCAGGAACCGAGCAATTTCTTAACTGACCCCCGACACGGAGGACGCGCTTGTCGTACACTGGATCTAGCCTGTAGAGTTGACTAGAGCGCTTGATTTGTTTTGGGAGGACTTTCACGTTGTCGCTCGACTTTGAGTTCTGCTGTATTGCTGTGATCTCTTCAGCGAAGCTTCGTTCTTGCACGATTCTCACGATTACTAGCTTCGCTTCGCGTAACTCCTCAACCGTCAACCGCTTGATAGGCGCTTGCTTCCGCCCACGCTTCTGGGACGAGTCTTTCTTACAAGCTTCTCGTAGTGTGCGTCTGTAACGAAGCATCCAGGCAACGAATCTTTTTAATCGGTGCCAAGAAGAGAACCGTGCGAAGATCTGATCGAATTCTTTGATTACGGTTGCATTCACCATAAACGCCTCAACCTTCTTCACTTCTGGGTCGTTTCCCTTGACGACTTGCACTCCGACGCTAGGCTGTTCCGGCCAGTTTTCTCTCGGCTGCGACAAGAACTCTGGACCTTGCAACCAATGCTCATTTTTCAACAACTCTTCTTCGGCTTGCAGGCCCCTAGACGCATCATCCGCTGGGTTCGATTTCGTGTCCACGTATTTCCATTGCGAGGGGGAAGACGCTTCGTGAATGGAAGACACGCGATTTGCGACAAAGGTGTGAAATCTTTTGTCTTGACTTGCGATTTAGCTCAATACGCACGTGCTGTCCGTCCAAAATACCGAGTTGTTGATCGGTATATCGATTTGTCTAACTTGGTCGCTAAGACAGCTGCGGATAGCTCCAGGCGTGGGATCGTAATGGTCTTCAATGGCGCCAGTCTCGATTTGCCCATGACGAACGAACAATGGTTGTTTCCATCAGCATTGGTCAGGAGTAGGTAAGAAACTGCACCGTAACCACATTGAGAAGCATCAGAAAAATGATGCAACTCTGCAAAGGCAACTTCTCCAAAATCGTGCGGTTTGAAACAACGATGAATCTTTAGGCTCTCCAGCTTTGGTAGCTCAATCAACCAAAATACCCAACGCTTCGTGTACTCTTCTGGAATGGGATCGTCCCATCCTTCGTTGATTCTACACAAGTCTTGTAGAATTTCTTTCGCGAGTAAACTAAATGGCGAGGCGAACCTGAGAGGATCATACACAGATGACACGACAGATAAGATTCCTCGTCTTGTAAACGGTTTGTCCTTGACCGTGATTGCGAATCCGAATGTGTCTGATTGTAAATCCCATAACACTCCGAGGGCGCGTTCTGTAGGCAGCTCTCCGAGACGAATTTCCTTTACCAATTTGGATCTTTCGGATTCTGGAATTGACTCTATTAACTCTTCTGGAGTTCGACAGCCACTTCGTCAGACGGAATCCACCTTTAGAGAGAAGAAGGCGTAACTGCTCTGCTGTGGTGATTGCTGCTTGCTCATTCTCAGATGACTTGAGGCAATTGTCGACGTAGAAATTTCGCTTGACCGTGTTGACCGTTTCGTTGTCGAATTGCTCGCTGTTGTCGTCTGCCGTTTGTCGCAGGGCGAAATTCGCGCAGGTGGGGGATGAAACACTGCCAAAGAGATGCACCATCATCTGATACTCTGCCGGTTCGTTACTAAGATCATTATCCGGCCACCACAGAAATCGCAAGGAATCGCAATCAGGAGGTCGGACTCGGACCTGGTGGAACATAGCTTCCACATCTGCCATCATCGCAACGGGACCTTCTCGAAATCGCGTCAAAACTCCGACTAGACTGTTCGTTAGGTCCGGCCCCTGTAACAGCTCCTTATTCAACGATGTTCCTCCATATTCAGCTGCGCAATCGAATATGACTCGTAGTTTGTCCGGTTTCTGAGGATGAAAGACGGGCTGGTGAAGGAGATACCATGTAGCATCGTTTTGCTTATCGCACTCTTCGTTTGGCAGTCTTCTTGCGTACCCTTTCTCGAACAGGTCATCCATAAACGTTGAATATTTCCTCAAGAGCTCGCTATCGTTTGCTAGACGTTTCTTCAACAGCTTTAATCAGCGCTCGGCAAGTGGTCTGTTCTTGGGCAGCGAAGGTGGTGGTTTTCTCCATGGTAGGGCCAGTTCGTAGTGACCGTCCTTCAGTTGGATGGATTCTTTCATGACTGATAATGCTTGCCTGTCTTCGCACAACATCGCAACCTCATCGTCTACGTTGTTGAACTCTCGGTCGCAGAAATTTCTGAACAGATTTTCCAACTCTCTGTCAGCATGGATGCAGTTAGCCGTTGCTTCCTGCGTGTCGTTTCGCCCTAGTGGTCCATTTACTGTCCAACCAAGGGAGGTTCTGACGGTGTAAGGTCCGTCTTGGTCGCTGCTTCATGTTTCCTTAGGCTGTAGTGCTCGGGGGACATCGTTGCCGAGTAAAAGACCGACTTCGCCGTCGATTTCTGGGATCGTGATACCTTGTAGATAAGGCCAACGGTCCACGTCGCTTTGACGAGGAATATCGTTTCTCGATATTGGCAGCTTCTTTACGGAAAATACGGAAGGGATGTTGATTGTGTTCTCGCTATCGAAGTCGCTAACTTCGAGCCTGACGACTGAGCCTCTTAGGACACTCTTTTCTTTCTCCATGGTTGTCAGAGACAGTGTTGTTTGTTCGCCAGTGGCACCAAGTTTCGCCAGTAAAGATTCCGTGATGAACGATGTGTTGGAACCTCCATCAAGGAAGGCGTATGCCTCGATTGTTAGATTGCCATCTTTCGCTTTAACCTTCACTGGTACAACAGGCATACCTGTTACACTTGCGGAAAAGTGACGCTTTTCGCCAACATTTACGTAACCGTTTTGTCCGTTTTTCTCTTCGACTTTCGGCTGTTCTCCGGCTGTGGGACTTTCGTTTTCGTTTTGATGCGGTTTCGGATTTTTCTCTGTGTTGTTACTAACTTTCTGATGGAGAAATGTGGAGTGTTTGAACTTGCAGCCGTCGATCTTGCAGAAACTTTTCTTCTCGCAAGATCTCGCCACTTGTCCTGAGGTGAGGCAGTTGTCGCACAGTTTGAGAGATCGAACGAGTTTGAACCACTCTTCGACTGTTTTCTTCTTGAAGTTCTCGCATTGAGAGAGCCAGTGTTCCCCGTCACACAAGGGGCATTTCACCTTGGCACGTGTTCGAGGGCCGCTAGCATTGCCACTCGTGGCGAAAGACCTACCAGTCGACCTCGGAGTCTTCATGGTGGGTTTCTCAGACCTAGTTTCTTTAGATATTTTCCCAAAAATCGGATGACTACTCGCTCTCGCTCGTTTCTCTACGAATCCCGCGATGTCTTCGATTGTGATCTCGCGCTGGCGAACTTCCGTGATATCGTCAGCCACGTCACGCCATTTTTGTCTCATTCCAAATGGTAATTTTTCCATGATTTTTTGCAAGCTATCGGGATTTTCTATCTTATTTAAGTAGCCAATTTGCTTGAGAGCGTTCTTACAACTTGTAAGTAAAACCGAGAATCTTTGCAAACTTTCACCGTCCTCAGACTTAATTTGTGGATAGCTATTTATGCGCTCAACATATGCTGTTGCAATCTTATAATTGCGGCCGTACCTTGCCTTGAGTAGCTTACGCGCTTCTAGATATCCTTCTTTGGGATCCATCGAAAGACAACTACGCATTAGTTCCTGAACGTCGCCTGACGTATATTGTACGAGGTAGTATAATCGGGTGCTGTTATTGTTTGTTTTCTGTTCGATCAATTGCTCAAAGGCTCGGACAAAACCGTGGAAATCAATAGGGTTTCCAAAAAAGGTGGGAACTTTAGGTGTTGGTAGTGTTAGTGCTAATGTGTGCTGTTGCTGCTGTGCTAATAGCTGAGTCATTTGTGTGTTTGGTACTAGTATCTGCTGATTTGCCTGAGGGTCGATTACATTAACCGTCGCGTGTGCTTGTTCCGGTGGAATTTCAACGTGCCTATGGTCATTAGGATGTGCTTGACTTGTAGGTACATTGGTATGATTCACAGGTACATTTGCCTGAGGTGTGGGTACACTTATGTTGTTTTGACACCAAACTTTGGCTTGCGCGTTAAGCGGTGTTGATGGCACGTGTTGATTACTCGATAATTGCTTTGGCACATTAGGAACAAGGCTAGATTGTTCTTGCCTTAAGGCTGTGCTTGGGCGGGGTGCGCCAGCTGGAACTAGTTGCGAGTTGATAGATAGCGCACGCAATCGTTCATGTGTTTTTTCGCGCTGGTCAATATTAACCTTTTTCGGCGGCGCCAACATCACTATAAGTGCGTTCTTCGGCAGCGGCTTGAGCGATCTTAGTCTTAAGTTCAAGTTTGTCTTTTTGTTGCTGAAGAAGAAGCTCCTGTTGCTAAAGATCTTGTCGCCTATGAAGTCTTAATGCTTCTTTTTCTAAAACGGCTTTTCTTGCAGCGGCAGCGGCTTTTGCGCTAACAACGGATCCTCTACTGGAACCGCGAGAACTTAAGCTAATTTCAGAACGTGTGTATTTAGATTTGCGTGATGTTATCGAAGCATAACTGTCGCCAGCATTGCTCATGGAATCGCTTGGTTTAATTTCGTTTGACGGGTCGTCTCCGTCGTTCAAAATTGGACATATCCCTTCGTGATTATCGTTTAGCCAAGTTCTATATTTATCTTCAAACGCAGATGTTCTGCGAACTTCGGCTTCGTAATACGCCTTGGATTCTTCCAAGTCGTCTTCGTCTGATAGCTTTAAGTGAAAGGTTTTGTGTGCTGAAAAGAATTTTCTTGATACCTCTTCAAATTCACCGTACGCGCTCTGAACCCGGTGTACGTTACTAACGGCTTTGATCAATTCGTTAATCTCATTTATTTTGCGCGTGAGCAGGGCTTTGGCGGATTTTCGTGCCATTTTACATTGATGCACTTGTTGGGTCGCATCGTTTTGGTTTGAGGCGCTGGCCTCGTGATCTGCTATTTCTCGCCCTAGCGGGGGTTGATCGGTGGCTTGTGATGCCAAACTCATGGTAACTTTCTCTAAAGGCTGGTTTCCATTTAATCGTTACGATCGCTTCAGTCGTTACGATCGCTGAAAAAAATTACGAGCGACCGTAACGATCCCGATCGTTCGTTGATTTCCATATGATTGCTGCACTTTTTGCATACAATTGTGCCGCGAAAGTTTAAAAATGGCAGCGGTAAACAAGCGTTTGCTATTAGAAGCTTTGTTCCTAAACCTTATGGGAATGTTCAGACGACGACGCCAGAAAAAGAAGAAATTGAAGCGAAGAAAGCATAGATTTTGGGTCAGAAAAATATACGAGGAAAGGGAGCAACTTGGTAGTTTTCACACATTAGTTAAAGAATTAAGACTACATGACCGAGAATTTTTTTACAAGTGAGTACTTTTTACCATAAAATTACTTTATTAATAAATTCTTGATGGAATCTCAACTTAAATTTGCAGGTTCATAAGAATGTCCCCAGAGAGATTTGAACATCTTTTAACTCTTGTTGGACCTTTAATAACGAAGAAATTTTGCAGGTCACGTAAAACAATCAGTGAATCAGAAAGGTTACTTCTTACTTTGAGATACCTTGCCACAGGGGACTCTCAACAAACACTCTCCTTTCAATTTCGGATTGGAAAAGCGACAATCTCTAACATTCTTAGAGAAACTTCGGAGGCAATTTGGTCAGCACTGAAGAAAGATTATTTGAAAGCACCATCAACAGCTGAGGAATGGATTGAAATTTCAAATGAATTTGAGAGAGAATGGAATTTCCCTCACTGTATTGGGGCAATTGATGGGAAACACATCATGATAGAATGCCCCCAAAATGCTGGCTCTGCTTTTTATAATTATAAAAATTTTCACAGCATTGTTTAACTTGCAATTTGTGATGCCAAGTACTGTTTCTCATTTGTTGACATTGGAGCATATGGTGGAACAAATGATGCAGCTGTTTTATCAAACACTCAGTTTGGACAAGCATTTAATGATTTCCCTACCATGTTGAATATACCTTCCCCAGCCACTTGTGGAAACACAAGCTTACCTTATGTATTATTAGGGGATGATATATTTCCCCTAAAGCCATGGCTTATGAAACCATATCCTGGCAAAAATTTGGATGAGTCCCAAAGAGTTTTCAACTACAGGCTATCTCGAGCAAGATGCACAATTGAAAATGCATTTGGAATTTTATCAGTGAAATGGAGGGTGTTTAGGAGACCAATACGAGCAAGCCTGGAGCTAGTGGAGAAGATTACCATGGCTACTGTATGTTTACACAACTACCTGCAACTGACTGATAATGCCATGTATTCACCCTCTGGCTTTGTTGACAGTGAAAATGCAAGTGGCCAAATAATTCTGGGTGATTGGAGAAACACTACACAAGTTGATGCACAGGGAATAAGGAGTATTGGTAGAATAGCTGGCAATAGATACACATTTGAAGCCAACAAAGCAAGAGGAGATTTTAAGGATTATGTGAACAATGAAGGACAGGTTTCTTGGCAGTTGGACTATGTCAGGAGTTGTGGTCAGAATACAGTTAAATCATGACTTTATTTTAAACAACTCAACAGTTCAAAGTATCTAGTTTCTATTATCTAGTACCAATGAAGTTAAACAACTCAACAGTTCAAAGTTTTTAGTTTCTAGCATCTAGTACCAAGTTAACAACTCTACAGTTTAAAGTATCAGAAGTTCATAAAAAATATGAAATATAATACCTGTGTGTAAATTAACTCAATAGCAAGTAGAACATGTGTTAATACTGAAATTCAAAGTCAATAAACAACAGCCACAGTTCAATTTAAATGTACATATGTGTATCCATTCTCTGCTGAATACCTTCTTTGGGTGTTTTGATTGACATCATTCATGATTGTGGAGTTGTCTTGTGCTGCATGTTTTGAAGACTCGACTTGAAAAAACAACTGCTCAATACTCATTCTAATGAAAGCTTTTGAATGTTGATCAAGTCTTCTCATTCTTGCAACAAGACTATTACAAAATAAACTATCTTCGCACTCTGGCTCTTTGACTGTTTCTTTTTCATCTCCTTCAGTCCTCTTTATGTGATTTGCAAAATACTGGCATGAATTAATAAAGGCTTTATCCACTTCATCCAACTCTTTTGTTTTTTTTTGTTGTATTTACTCCATGGGCGTGTACTGGCAGGTTTTTGTACAGGCGTCTCATTTTTTTATTTTCCTCCTCCCTTGGAGATTCTGTTGTGCTTTTTGATGCCATTTCCTCTGCAAAGCTCTCTAATGTATTGCCATAAATAGACTCTTCAATGTCATCAATATTTATTGATGAGTCAGCTGAGTGTTTGTCAGAAGAAATTTCGCTGACTTCCAAACTTGACTCAGCACTATCAATTGAAATGATCTCATTTTCGTCTTCTTCCTCTCCTTCTATGTGTACATCAAAATTGCTTGCAGTATTAGCTCTGAAAGACATATGTCCTTGAAGCCATCCTAAATTGATAAATTCCCTAGGAACAACTGGTACTGATTCCCTTCCAGAACCAGAACGCACTGATTTCTTTCGCTTCAAAAACCGTCCATATGCTGTTCGAAGATTTTTAAACTTTTGTTCTGCTAGTTGAGCCTCAATATCAAATTTTTCTGCAATCTTTTTCCAGCAGTTAACTTTGATGTATTTATTTTTGTATTCTTTGTCGTACTTGTTATACAAGCAGGGAGATTTTCGAACTTCTTCCATAAAACTGTGAGCATCAAATGACGCCATATTGAAATATGATACACCGTAATGGTTTATGGGATTGCCATTTCGTCGCTATGATCGTTGCGATCGCTAAAGTTCCGTTTCCATATGGTCGCTGGGTCGTTACGATCGCTGAGATAGAACTTTTTCTATCTCAGCGATCATGATCGTTACGATCGTTGTGGTCGCTGGGATCGCCAGCTAGTTGATTTCCATTTAATCGCTACGGTCGCTTGTAAATTTTTTCAGCGATCGTAACGACTGAAGCGATCGTAACGATTAAATGGAAACCAGCCTTAAGGGTTGCGTGCCAAATAAACGTATTGGCCAGAGACGAATAATTATACTTTTTCTTTGGCTGGCTTATTCACAGACAGTGTTCAATACATTGCAGGCATCTTCGAACTTATGTAAGCTCTAACACCGTCGAACGCAAACAGTAATCCCAATACGGTATAAGCTTACGTGTGAGCACAATTGAGGTGGGGAAAACAGTCCAAAACGCACGCAGAATGGGTAGATACACTTTTGCCAATGGCAACGACAATAGTAGATCATAAACTCGTATACAATCTGAATATAATTTTAACCCGAAATTGACGATATGCAAATCGTGAAACGTGAACGTGGTTTGACTAAATAGAACAAAAACATAAACTAAATTAATACAGTGTAACTCTAAAACAAACCCTTACAATAACTAAATACAAATAAAAAATGACTTACAGATGTTTTCCCAGTAACTCAGAACTTTACTTTAGCTTGTAGATTTTGCTCTTTGCTTACGAACCTTTAGCTCCTTACTGCCAGAATACCTCAACTATACTGCCAAGTTTCTGGTCCAACTGCATGCCTTACCCATGCGTAAATCTAGTTAACTTAATTTCCTATGGTACTTGAGATAAATTATTAAGATATATGTTTTCCTGTGATTAGCACAGTTGTCACTAACGAACATAACATAGACTAGCAGTTCCAAACCTACACCAACCACGGCAGCCGCAGCAAGCTAAGAAACAGCAACAACAACCACAGGAACAGCAAACACAGCCACAAAAAGAACAGAGGCAACAAGCACAGAAGCAGCAACAACAACCACAGCAACAGCAAACACAGCCACTACAAGCACAGCAACAACTACAGCAGCAAAATCTGCAAAAGCAACCTGGTATGTAATATATAAATGTCTTCTCTCCCTATGTTCTGGAGGCTGCATGCATGCACCAGAGATAAAGTATTTAAAGAGCGTTGCGACTCCGCATAACCACACAATAGACGCTTGATCAGATTGAAAACCAATTGGACATATTTTGATATATTTTCTAGAGTTAACGCCTGTTGCATATGTGGCGGGAAATTCCATTGTTGCTGCAGGCAAACTGATGCGTGAAAGAAGGACACTGCATGGAACCAGCATCCCCACAGATCATGTATGCATCATGCTAACCTCACCCCAACAAAATTATCCAGCACCATTACTAGTTGGCGATGAGTCCGAAAACTCAGTTCTTGTTGCTGGCCAGTTTTTTGCATTGCCAATTAAGTCACTTAGGCTGGTTTCTAAAAATTCCAATACTTTGCATTTAAAAGCATTAACATAACAACAATATAATACATAGTTAAACAACCTAAAATGTGGTTTCTATCACATGTTTCCATTTAGTTTTAACAGTGGTGGGCACATCAGAATGGCTGATGTACACATATTAGATGTCAATATACCTCTGCATTATAACCGAGTGATTACAAGGACGAAATATAAGTCCAGAGTATTTTACGTCATTGAATGTGACCTTTTGCATTTCTCACAGCAGTTAGTACCAAATGGATATCATGTTTACCGCTTTAAGGCATTGTTACATTGGATGAGTTTTATCAATAAAAGGCTGTTTTCCACTGTCGCATTTTGATACGTACTTACACGCACGTAAAACTTTAAATCGGTTTAAATGATCACGAAAAAATCAACAGAATTTAGTGTTTTGTAACTTATTTGTAAAATCTAAAAAATAGGAGGATTTAAAGTTTTACATGCATATAAAAAACGCCACAGTGGAAACAGCCTCAACTTGCATATGAATGAGCATATAGCTAGGGAATTTGATTCGTTATAAAACAATTTGCATATTGAGTTGTTAAATGTTGCCTCCTGTTGTGGCATTACCTTTTACCAGTGCTGTAAGTAACTTTGTTACAAGTAACGAAGTTGAAAGTAATCGTTAGTTTTTATGGTAACTTTATGGGTTACTAGTTACATTTTGCGAAGTTGTAACTGCAACTGTAACTAGTTATATTTTTGCTAAAAATTATATATAGTACGTTACTTACTTCAGTTAGCAGCGCTCTCATTACTTTTCCGTTACATTTCTGATCGCTTTTACGCTCTAACATTATTAACATACGAACATCTTCAAGATCTGATATTTCAGGGCAAATAATAGATTGTCAAGTAGTAAAACCAGGCTGCTCATTTAAATTCGGGTTGCTCAGGATTCTTGGAACATTAATGAAATTACAACAGAAGACAGTCAGACTGCTCTGACATTCTGTTACTTCATTCTGCTACATCAATGAAGGTTGTCAGTGATAGTAGTCAAATTCAATATGTTTAAAACATCAGCAATTTGCGGAATGACAAATGCACAGTTATTACGTATAGTGACATTTGAATCTAAATACAATATTTGTAATCCCACGAGACTATACTGATGTGTTAAATATATTTAAAACTATGACTTTTTCCATCATTCTTTTGTGCTTAACTATACACTTGTCTATTGTCAGTGACAACCCCAATTGAAATAGCTGTATAAATTTAGATGTATACAGTTTAGTTAAAATCTGATACACTCCAACTAGGAAATGGAGTATGTTACTATTCTCATTTCTAATGCACTGTATATCTTCTGAACAGATCAATATGCCGTCCATATACAGATGAATATTGAGCTTCTGTTGTGGTTTTGTAGCTTTCATTGCATATCTTGCAGTGGTAAAAGTTGATGCAGCCAGTATGTGCACCCACACTTTTCTTATGTAGAGAAAGGCATTTTTTGCAATTGAAGATGTCTGGGCGTCTGACGGCTTTTGCTGTTTTCTTTCCACAGGCTAGACAGTTACCAATGATGAGATTGCTGGTATCAAATGGGAAACACACATATTTTGCCTTACGATAAAACGCAGCTAGGTATTTACTATATCTATATATTTCAATCAATGTGGATAAGGAGATGTCGCCAAATATCTCCCTACAAATTAATGAAGCATGAAAACTTGAAATGGAACCTCTTTGTACATGCGCACACAAAGCTAAAACACTATAATGTGTTGTTTGGTGCTTAAGGTTAGCATAATCGCTCAAAAGAAAATTTGTCATCAGTTATATCATCGATTTCATGATGGTCTGTATTGAAACTCCTGCTGCTTTGTGAAACACGACCAGGTGGTAATGAATTTTTAGTACTAGTTGAAGGTGTTGTGAGAGATGAAACAGTGGATTGCAGAGATTTAGGAATATGAGATGGGGACATAGTTTGGGTAGGTATGTGACGGTATCAGAGGTAGATACAAAATGGGTAGATGCACAAGTTTCGTCAGAAGGCAATGAAATATTGTTGTTTAAGATCACCTTATATTTTCTAACACAGGGCTCATGGGATTCATTTTCTTTCATATAATGGGTTTTCTTTAGATACTCTTCCATTCCAATCTTGAGCATATTTTTCAAATGTTGTCTCAAGTGAATGACTTCTTTTCCACAACCAAACAATAAGCATTCCACAGGTTTCGACTTAAGTGGCTTGTTGTCATTCTCGCCTCTGGTAACACCACGGTGATAACAGTATAAGTGGTTGTCAAGCCTTTTTAAAAATTTTCCAAATTGTGGGCAGTCAGAAATATGGCATCTACTAGCTTGTCCCTGCAAAAAAAGTAACACTGGTAAAGGTACACTGCTACTGATTTCAAAGCAAGTTAGTTGAAAATGCTTATAAAAAAATATAAATGTTGAAATTAGTCTTCGAGATACTCTGGTATATGATATGTGTAATATGCCCATTGTCTGGCTACAGGAAAGATCTAGCTGGCATTTCACAAGCAAACTGAGATGGTCCCCTACTCATTAGTACAAGTATACACATACAAAGTATGAATTTGTTTACTACATACTCATGTGAACAATTTAAGGCCTATTTTTCTATTTTTTAACTTGTTCCATGCAAAATTCGATGTCTGGAACAGAGTTTGGAAGATCTTACACCCACGATATGATTCAACAATTTAGTCACAGTATGACAGTAATTCTTTTATTTCAAATTTTTCTAGGATTATTTAGAGAAAGCTTAAGCCTGGTTGAAAAGATAGGATGAGATGTGTTTGTGCATGAGAAGGAAGGGGGCAGGGGTAATTTTTGTTCAATGTTAATGCCTGCCCATGTGGCCCCATCCCCCATAGCCGTTAAGATATTTCATTGCGGTCCTACTAAATACCGCCTGGGAGCAGCTGAGAGCGCCCAGGAGTGCGCAAGGGTAAATAAATCTATGTGTGATCACTTTTGAAGATTTTTGACTTTTTTTTTCAACAAAAACAATGTTAAAAGTGATTCTTAACCAGCCCCAACAACGAACACTGTTGAAGGGCCGCCCATGCAGGAAGCTGTGTGAAACATGATATTTGAGATGCTTTTAACAGCCTGAAATATACATAAAAATGTACAGGAATTGTGGATTATACAAAAATGCACACACCAAACCACGCCAGACTGTACATGTATAAAATATCATGTTATTATTTCATATAGTTATAGTTAAGGGAGTATTAGAGCTAGTATATATGCTAGGATTACTACGCTATTATACTATCTATGTCACAATGTTCCTGGGCCGGTTGTATCAAGGCCGTTTAGCTTAAACAAGGCTATCCTTTTATTCAACTAGCAAACTAAAGGTTTTCAATCTTAATACACAACGGCGATATCATTATGTTTAGAACAACATATTTGGCTCATAATATTCAAGTTGACTGAT